CCTGGGGAACCAGGGCGGGAACCCGGCTGCTGCCGAGCAGAGGCAGGTCTGTGTCTCAGAGAGGTGAGACGTTCTGACTTCAGTCTGCGCAGCCTTTAGCCCGACTTTTGTAAAACCAGTCAGTGCCCGGAGCAGAGGCAGCCGGGCTTCCACCTTCGTACAGGCTCCTGAGGGGGGTGGTGACTCTTCCGTGTCGCTTTTGCAGCTGGTAGCAGGTTGCGGGTGAGAACATCCAAGTATGATGGGTTTCTTCCTGTCGTTACACTCCTTTTACCAGGAGAAATTGGTATGACTGGGTACTTAACAGTCCTTTTAGAACTTTACCTGTTAATTCTTTGTTCATGCAAAAGGCTTGTTTAGACTTTTTTTTTTACCCCAGTACCAGGAGCTAAAAAAACTGTCCCTTAAAAAAACCCAAACACCGAAAAACCCCACCAAAACCCCAAGCAAACAAAAAACCCCGATGGATAGGTTCCTGTGTTGCGTTTGAACAGAGTGACACTCTTGTGTCAGACATGTGTTTTGCTATTGCTGTGATCGTTGGTGGGGCCTGCTCCAGGGCAAGGTGGAGCCATGCAGAAACTTCTATATTTTCTTTACTTGGTGGTAATTGGCCCTTACTTAGCGTTTTTGATCTTCAAAGCTCTTTTCAAATGCAAAGTAATTTTTGCAGCGTTCCTAAAATATTGACAAGAACTATGCCTGCTTTTGCAGATGGAGAAAACTGATTTTGGTAGTGTGACTTGCCCAAGGTTACAGGATTAAGTCTTATTCTGGCATAATGTTAACTTTGGGAGCTCTTGGTGACTGGCTCTGGGCTTAGTAGGAAGTGTTCTGTTACCTGTGCCGTACTGATGACAAACCCAAGGACAAGACCTTGCTGCCGGGGCTCTCACCACAAGGGAGAACAAGAAGTGAGTCTGAAGTCTAGAGCACATGGTTAAGAGTATGGAACTGCAGGTGGGGTTTTTTTCCAAAACTTATTAGGGCACAGTAAGTTCTTGGAGTAAGCTGTTGGGTCAAGAACAGAGCTTGGTGGTGTCACTGGGCTGAACTAGAGCAGAACTCCTCTTCTGCTAGCAGGGTATGCACGTTATGGGAATACCCTGTGGGTAGGAAAGGCTTTGCTCAGAGCTTATGTCTTACTGGACAGCGGATAATCTAGATGCAGCACTTGGATACCAAGCTCTGCTTCTTCTGCGGAACTGCTCATTGAATTCGTATCATGGAGTGCAGCTGACCTTTGGTATTGACAACCCACAGAAATGTGGTGGCATTTTGTAATAGGCAGAAAGCTTTTTTTCACCAGAGAGATGGAGTTGTCCAACTTCTGTGGTGTTTGCCTCTGTGAGAGCCCTGTTGTGTGAGCCAAGGAGCTCGTGGTGCTCTTTGGTACCTTTGAGCTACAGCAGTGTTATTTCTTCTGTCTGTTGAAGGAAACTGAGGCACAGAGTGCCTGGGTAGGAGCTGTGTTGCAGACGCTTGAATGAGGGGATCTTGAGCAGGATGGAAGAGTATCACAGATGGCTGCTAATCCTGTCACAGCAATCTGAGGTGTGACACAGTGACACATGATTCATTGCGGTTGCTTTTGGAGTCTGCCCTGGGCTGTCTGGTTTGGGTGTCTGTGGCTCAAACAGTTAATCTGATTTTGCTTTTTCCTAAGGTGGGTCTAGCTGCTGCCTCCTGCTCATGGTTTTTGCTTGTTTCCTGATGCTCCTGTGTGCTGTTCCAGCTCTCTCTGGCCACTGGCTTGCTTCTTGGACGCCTCTTGCAGTTGCATCTCTAGCAGCTTGGACTCTAGTGAATAATCCCAGCCAACTTCAGTGGTTTATATTGTGCTGCACTTCTCCCCTTAACATTGGTGGATTTCACACATGGGCTGTGACTTTCTCACTGGGATGTGGTGGCCTAACGGTTCCTCTTGAGTCCTGGTCTGTCCTTCCTTTTGGGTCACATCCCTCTCCTCTCTGTAAGGCCTTTTGAAGGACAGCTTGCCATGCTGCTTCCATCCCTGCTCTACCCTGCCTGTAACTGATCTGGAGCCATGGCACAAATGCTGCGGGACACTGGTGCTTGGCAGTTGCATTGGAGCTGGGGTCCAGCTGCTTTCAGGCTACCCAGAATCTGTGTATCCTGGTGGAGGACCTTTTGGTGAAAGATGAAAGGCTGGCAGGTGAAGTGGAGGTCCCCTGATTCACGTAATCCGCCTTATTGTAAAATGTCAGCCACGTTTTATGAGTATTGAGTGTCCTTCTGGTGCTGTATTCTCACTTTATCATGCAAATAGAGCTGGGTAGGCTGACATTTCAGTGAACTTGCGTTGTCTTATTTAATGGAAAAGTTGCTATTTAGAGCATCAAAAGAAGTTGCTCATAAAGAATATGGTAATATCACTTTGGGTTTTTTTAATGTAATAATTGGAGATTATTTGAAGCATTATTTGAGCAAGGGAAATGGGCTCTGAAATCATACATCAAGCTGGAATAAAAGGCAAGCTGCTGTCCGTTCCATCCGAACATCTCTGAGCACCTTTCTGAAAGCTGCTGAATGAAACAGCAAGCCTCTGCCTGAAGAGCGTAATCACAGCTCTTGTACAAGGAGGTAATGCATTGTCCTGCCCAATTACGATTATCAGGCTAGACCACAGTCGAAGGAGTCCCTTTGTATTCGGGTGCTCGTGTAGAGCCGAGCAGGGCCCGAGTGCCCATTCTGAGAAGCTGCTGCACCATCCTTCCCTTCTGCAATAGCCTGCTACCAGCTTGTAGCACTAGCTAAAAATACCACATCGGTAAGATGTTAATGTGTGACTGTAGTAAGGTGGTTGCAGCTCTTCACTAAGCAGCTTCTCGGTGAGGTCTGAGAGATCAGTGAGGTACTTGAGAGTGGCCTCCCGTCCGACTGTCCTGGTGGTGGTTAAACAAGTCATCGCTTCAGGGAACTGGAGGGATTTTGTGATGGACACATACACTTCCTGTTGGCATGTGATGTGTCCAGCTTGAAAACGTGATGCCTGAGCGACTACTACGTTTTAATTTGAGTGACTACTATGACTTAATTTGTCCTTGGCACCCTAAAAAGCTCTGAGAGGTGAAAACACTGGACTCTCACACATGATAGTTTATGCTAATAGGCTTGAACTCTTACAGTGCTTCTTTTCCCTGAAGCCATTGGCACTATGTTGGTATTAGTGGAGAAATGCTGCCACAGCTGATAAATTGAGTTTCCCAGGCAGGTTCTTGTTTTCTGAAGTGTGGCGTCCTGGTTGAGGTGAGCCAGTACAGGAAACAGGTCCTGCACAGCTCGTGATCTTGAAGGGAAGCAGGCTCTTGTGGCTTCCCATAGCGTGACCGAGAGAGGGATGGGAAATCTAATGCTGCTTTACATCATGAACAGGATATGACACTTGCTTTAGTCACATACATGTGCCCAGAGGCATACTGGTACACCACTGCACGTGTGTTCTTTTGCCTTTTAATATTTTTTACTATTTCATTTGCCTATGACAATTTTTCAAGGAGGTACTAAATTATAAAGGGTGTATGTATGAGGGCAGAGGGATCTCAGCTTACTCTAAAAATTGTTCCACACTCCATGGGATCTTTTGCATGTGTTGCAGTATGCCAAAACAGATGGTATGTGGCACTCACTTTATTTTCCTTTGCATCCAGGTTCACTTCCCTGATGTTGAACGAGTGGAGTGGCTGAACAAGGTGAGGAGCTCTGAACTCCAGTTTGTGAGGCCACCTGCCCTGAGCTGCATTCCAGCACAAGCTCTGCTGGCCAAGTCTGAGAAAGTTACCAAGTCACTACAATATGGCTCAATCATATCCATGTCTGTACTTAAGTCTTGGAGCTACTTAAGTATAGAGTTGCCACTGAGGTGGTGGTGAGAACCAAACGTGTGCCTGCTTGATACAGGTTTGATGAATTTGGCCACAACACTTCATTCTGAGATTAAAAATAACAAAAAGAGTGTGTGTATATATATAGATGCATGTTTATGTGTATGTACATATGTGTGCATGTATTATCATTATTTTAGCAAAAGTAGTGGCATCTCCTCATACCAGAGAGGTTCCCAGAGAGCTCTGAAGCAGATGTTTCCACCAGCAGGTGTAGTCAAGCTCTCATTGGAACTGGACTCTCTGGAATTCAAAGCAAAACAGCTGAACTTGCAAATTAGCATCCGGTAACTATCCTGTTTTTAGCAAACTTTCTTTTTGGTGTAAAAGCTCATCTCACTCCTCTCTAAATAAACCTAACTGCAGGGAACTTTGTGACACTTTGGAGTAATTAGGGGCTGTTGTGGTTTAGAGACTTTAACCCTGGGCCTTGCGGCCTCGGCCTCAGTGGTTAGAAGCAGTTGATGGACTCTATGGTGCTGAAAACTCACCCTTCAGTTCCTAAAACAAATGCCATTTCTGAGGAACTGAGATGGATCCTTCTGTAAGGATGACTTAAGAGCCCAAATATGACTTGGTATTTTGAAAGGACAGACATTAATACCCAGATGTTCTGTGATGTGTGTGTCTGTTTCTCAACAAAGCATATCTTACACAAAGAATCAGTGTGTTTCCGCTTTTGCTGTTCTTTAGGTCCTTGTACAGGCTTGGCCGTACTTTGGGACAATCATGGAAAAAGCATTTAAAGAAGTTCTTGAACCAAAAATCAGAGCAAAGAATGTACATCTGAAAACATGCACCTTTACCAAGATCCACTTTGGCGAGAAGGTAGCGTGAATGCTTTGCAATGCTTGCAGTTTATTTTTTTCCAAAAAGTTCAGGTGCAAAGGGGAGAGCATTTGTTTGGGAGTCTGGTGTTCAGTTCTTTAATAGCTCTGAGTGTTTAACAAAATGGTGTTGGTACAACACTGCTGCCTCCTTCGTTCCCTCCTCATGTTGACTTCAGCATCTTCACCATGAAGGAAAGATCATATAAAAGGCGCACACGTCCCTTCCCATCGGCTGCCCGTAGTGTGGGACTGGAGGTAGAAAAAGGGGCACACATCCGCGTGTCTTTCTGTTAGACCCTTGCAACAGGAGTTCTCAATGCATGGGCTACTTGCAACCAGCCCTGTATTTGAGGACTGCCAAGGCTGTTCACACTGCCTGTTTAAGGGAAAAACTTGTGTGGTTTACGTACACTTTATGTGCCGTTGTGCAAAGTCTTTAATGAATGCTTCTGTACTCGAATTAATTGAAGCGCGTAGGACTTTTCACTTTAGCTTAACTTGAAAGTTACTAACTATGCCGTATCTTCTTTGTCTTCAGTGCCCTAGAATCAACGGAATAAAAGCCTACACCAAAGAAATCGACAGAAGACAGATTACCCTAGACCTGCAGATATGGTAACATTGCATCATTGATTATGTAGATGGTTCTTAACTCACTGCCCGTGTGACACCTGTGTGTGGGTTGTCGTGCTGGACTGGACATGTGGTCCGCTAAGATCAGCATGGAGTGGAAAGGTCCTTATCTTATATCAACCCAGAATGATATGAGATAATCTGTCCCCCAGCTGGATGTCCTCAATACTCACAGAGGTGAGATGTGCATGAGCCTTCAAGTCAGAAAGCAGTGTCACCTGCACAGGTCTAGGTGTTACCTGCTTGGGCCCGTCACTGCTGTCTTGGATATAAGAATGTGTCACTTGGCTTTGCCATTCATGACAGTAAGAAACCAAGTTTTGGAACTGTATTTGCTGTTCTGACAGCCCTGACAGGTCTCGGACATGGAGGTGCTTGTTCTGTTTCCCCACTATGGTTCATCTTCAGCCCAACCTCTCCAGTTCTTCCAGAACTACTTGCATTATTTATTGTTTTTTTTATTCTTTCCCCTAGATTTACCCTCTTGTTTCACTCACTGTTTTTGCCATGTGCCACTCAACACATTTGCTTTTTTTGATTACAGCTGTTCTCTGAGCAGACAACTGCCTCTAGCTCTATTAACAACAACAACAAAATTAGCTAAAACATTTGATGCCTTCCAGGCTGTTTTGAATGCACTTGTGGGTTTTGTTAACATCAGAACCAATGCAGAGCTAAACTCTCTCCTGGTTTAGCCTGGAGAATGGAATTACTGGGGGAATTACCACTTGCACGCTGCTGTAGCTCTGTAAGTTTAGTGGGCGATTGAGCTGCCTAGTTTAAATGGCTTTTCTTCATGGTAGTGCCTGGAAAAAGCAGTGTGAAATTACGGAGTGTCTTGGCGACAGCACAGAGCTGCTCAGAACTGTGCCTGCTGCTGAATGTGGCAATGGCATGGCAGCGTCCCCAGCCCTGGCAGAGCACCGTCGCTCCCTGCAAAACGACATGCTTGGTTTTCAGCCAGAACATGTTGTGCTTCAGTGCTGTCGGTGAAGTGCTCTTGGTAATAGCTGGACCAGTTGTAGGGCCTTTGGCAAATCGTTGGTGTTTTCCACGTTGAGATCGAGGAATTTGATGCCTTTAAGGCTCTGCAGGAGGTTGCTGCTGCTCTCTGTTAAACTACTTCTCCAGCGTGCTTCTCCCACATACTCATTTTCACTGTCTTTTAACAATCCTGTGCAGAGGGATTCCCCCACCTCCTCATTACTGTCCCTTGGGCAGACCCATCAGCATCTCCAAACCAGCCAAACACTTCTGTTCCTCATCCTGACAATAACTTAATCTGAACCGTCATCTGATAACCCAGGTATTTTCTGTTTTCACACAGGAACATTCAGACTACCTTGTCTCTCTGAATGGGGTCTCTTCTCTTGGGCTGTTAAGGACCCAGCTTCTCTTGCGTTAACATCAGCTGCTGCAACGAAGCTGGGTGTTGTGCGTTGTACAGTGCCACAGGAGGTAGCGTGTTACTGCCAGGAATGGGGAGAAGCAAACCTATGAGCTTTGCTGCTGTTTACCTGCCTTTTTCTGGATTGCCAAAGGAGCGTGGGATTGTTCCTTTTCTGTTCTTTAATCAAAGAAATGGGCAATCTCCACTTTTCTGGATTGAGGCAAACGCCCGTTCCAAAATAGGCGCTCTTGGCTACTGAACAGCAGTGAATGTCTGCACTAGTGCAGCTGGTGCTGGGAGAAGAGCTGCTTAGAGGAGATGGGCTTGAGCTGCCCCAGCGTGAGGCTGCTGCCCTTCACACTGCCTCTCAGTCACCGCGTGCTGGTGAGGTTTGAGTGGCTGGATAAGTCCACAGAGCTGTGTGCTGGCATCGCAGCCCTGGGGAAGAGAGCGATGTGCCAGTGTGGTGCACTCAGCAATGCTGAGACCACAGTGGCTGCCTTCCCTCTCTTGGGTTAGGTTTCGGAGAAGCATGGCTGTGTTGCAGTGGACATTAAAGGATTAACGTGTCTGCGTGTTATAAACATGACTCCTTTGCCTTGGTGCTCGCTAGGCGTAATTTTCTGGGAGTTCCCTCGCTGGTGAACCCACGTGAGCGTGACCTGTTGGCTGGCTCGACACTGCGTGCAGCGCTGAGCGGGGAAGGCCGAGCAGCCGCTTCCCGCAGGGTGCTGCTGTTGTCCTGGTGGACAGCACTGCTGCGCTGGCAGCAGCTCTGCCCCGCTCCAGAGCTGAGTTACCCTGTGTGCTAGGCACTGTCTTGCATCCAGAAATCTCAACATGCTCTTTAAATGCTGCTTGCTTTCTGTCTCGCAGCAGTACAGGAGGAGGGATTTTTTCTTCTACTTTTATCAAGGAGGCAGCTAGTCTCTGGAGCCCAGAGCCTTTGACTTGGCCAGGGAAAAACACAGGAAAAGGACAGGGGTAGAAAATACCTGTCCCTCTTTGCCTTCCTTTGTGGTCTGTATGGGATCATTTGAGCAGTTTTAGTAGCCGCTTGCAGACCTGTGGTCCATCAAATGTTTTGGTTAATTAATTTGTGCTCCTGATCTCCATAACGTGATGTGGCCCTGAATGCTGTGGTTGAGGTCTGTGCTGTGTGAAGAAGACATTCCTTTCCTCTGTGTTAGATTTGTGATGTAGTATCATAAATTGCATCCGTTGCTTGGGAACTATGAAAAGTAGCACTTAGAGGTCACTTACTTGTATGGGCAGTAGCTGACAGCAGAGCCAGTGATGCACTAGATCTGGTATAGCATGGAGTTACCAAAAGGAACTTGAGAAGCTGCTTTAATTAAATCTGTTAATAACAGCTTACGTGTCCATAACATCAGAGCATTGGGTACGGCTACGCAGAGCACTGTCTTATTACAGTCCTGACTGTCCCACGTGAAAGGACTATACTGGAGTTTTTGGCAGGAAACCCAAGTGTCAGAGGTGATGACTTGTGAGGCACAGAGACCTTATGGCAAAGGCAAGGAAGGAGTCCATGAGTCTTTCAAAATCTTTTACTCAGTCCCTGGGATGATGCAGCTAATTGGTGTAAATTAAGTTGTGTAAGTTTTATTATGACTCATAAGACTGAGCAGAAATGTTGAGATAATCACTGCTTACCCTCAGGGCTGCTGTACAGACAAAGTTTGTCATTCATTCGTCTGAAGGTCCTGGTGTCTGTGTTCTGTTCGTGTACCTGCTTCTCTGTGCAAATACACCTGATCTACAGCTTTCACATGACACACAAGAAAGTACCAGGGTTCTTGCAGTGGCTAAATGAAGTATAAGATCCCCGTCAGACTGGGATCTGGAATCCCCAAATCTGAAATATGAGATCACAGCTGGAAATGAACCGGCAGTACTCTAGGATCTCCAAACAGTTTGCCCTAGGTCTGAATGTTGAATATGTCCCATGAACATAGGGAGCTGACAGTTGCATTCTTTAAGTGAATTCATGTCAAAGCATTCCCGAAATATTCTCCAATAGTGCATTTTTCAAAATAGGAACTTATGAAGTGGAGCCACTTGACCTCCTGCAAGTGCTTTACTTCCCATTAATCCTGCAATTGTCTGAGCTGCTGTAGAGCCATGTAATCATTGGCTGTAATCACTGGAGATTCATAGAATCATAGAATGCTTGGGGTTGGAAGAGACATTTAGAGGCCATCTAGCCCAGCCCCCCTGGAGTGAGCAGGGACATCTTCAACTGGATCAGGTTGCTCAGAGCCCCATCCAACCTGACTTTGAATGTTTCCAGGGATGGGGCCTCCACTGCCTCTCTGAGCAACCTGTTCCAGTGTTTCACCACCTTCATTCTAAAGAATTTCTTCCTTATATCCAGTCTAAAGTATTCGATGTGTTTCAAAGTATTTGAAAGCACTGTTACCTGCTAGAGGCATGTCTTGCAATCCAGTTGCTTCCTGTTTTGCTAACCTGGTTTGGTACTCATAATAATTTTTCATTTGAAGTGTTTTGAGTTTTCATTTTCTTGCTCTTCTATAGTATTTACAGTGCATGAGATGTCGTAGAAGGATAGTGCAATAATTAATATCTATTAAAAAAATATGTGTGTATTGCAATTTACTCTTAAAAGAGAATCTCTGGACTTCCTAACTGGCAGGTTTTCACATCTGGAAAGATAGTCTCTGTCATCCAGTGCAGAATGGGAGAAAGCAGTCAGAAAAGTGCAACAATACTTTGAGCTTTGGTGGAGTTTGGGTTGACTAAGTTTGTAGAATGTTACAAGAAACTAAAAGCGTTTTGGAAACTTGTCAGTGTTAAGCAGAAAAGGAATGCTTGCCCTCAGGAGCACAACTTGATAGGCAAAAGGGAAAGGCAGAGGTGGTCTGGTTTTTCTCATACGCTGTGGTACTTTGTCACATTTTCTTGTCTCTCTCAGAATGTTAGAATGGTTTGGGTTGGAAGGGACTTTAAAGATCATCTAGTTCCAACCCCCCTTCTTATTTGTCTAATAGTCCTTGCTCATTTGCCCAAGTCCAAAGCCAGGCAGACTAAGCAGCAGTCTGCTTTACAAAGCACTCGAGAAGGCTGCTCCGAAGGGGGCTTTTAGCACGCGGGCCGATGAGGAGATGGGGCCCATGGGGAGTTACTTCAGAGGGGGAGAATTGTGTGCATTTCCTAAAGGGATGTGTAGACATCCAGGTTAGGCACACTTGCCAGCATGTGCTCTTGTAGCATCCCTGCCTGCAGCCAGTAGATTGCCGTTGTATCGTAAACACTGGGCCCAGCTTTTCCGCCCGAGTACAGAAGAGGTACAGGTACCTGCACTTGTAAAAGCTTCTCCAGTTCTCCTCCCCGGCGCGGGCACGCTTGTCTGCATCTCCTTGGGCAATACGTGATTTAGGAGAGAAACGGATTCTGCTTCCACCCCGCAGAGGTGGGTAAATCATGGTCTTGTGGTTAGCAGCAGAGGGGCTCAGTCCTGCACACTTCTGAGGGTCGAGGCCGGAGTCTGGCTCGGGTGCGTGCTGTCTGGGGAGGGCAGCAGGCAGCACAGCTGAGCAGCGGGAGCGGACAAAACAGCAGCAGCTTGGACTGGGAACGAGGAGTAAAACGAATGAACAAAGAGTGCGTCCTTCCTACCAAGCACAATGGCATGAGGTTGGTGCCTGTATGAAGCAGACTTAAGGATAATTAAAGGCTCAGGCTCTGATAAAAAGGGTAAAGACTGCTATGACATCTAGACTTTAAAACACAATTGCGTGTATTGAAGTGTTACTGGAGAAAAGAGACGTCTAGGACTGGGTGGGAAGAGTTTTTGACTGCGTGGAAAGGCATAAAAATTGTAAATTGAAACACCACAATATTATGTGTTGTGTTGGACACTGGCAGCAGCTGAATTAAATCATCTTGGATTAATTACTGCAAATTGAGGAACTCATTTTGGCTTCTCATTTAGACTTTTATTGTGACAAAGTTCTATTAGCACCCAGTGTAAAGAAGTGTAAGATAATGTCAAAATTGTAGAAATTAATAAATTAAAAAAGAAGTTTGTTTAATTATATGACTAGCTTATAAGGAAAATTGTGTTAATTTTGGCATGGCGTGTGAGGTTGGTTATTGAAGAAATGAGAGTGCTCTAACATTAAAGGCTTTAATTTGTGTGTTATGAAGTTCTTAAATTACCATTCTGTAATTCTGTAATTCTGTAAATTCTGCTAAGTGACTCTCTGTAAACAAATATTCCAGAACTTTGCTTGAAGAAATGGAGACAAATTCATGGGGCTACACATTCTTGGCAGGTTTTTTTGGGGAGGGAATCTGTCTATGTGCAAATTACAGTGTGAATTAGTGGCAACTGCAGCACTATTTGCCCATATACATGTGGTCAGAGGGAAAATCTTGTCCTTTTTCTTTGATTATGGGGTGAAATTATGCAGGCAGGCAGCAAGCACAGCACATTCACTGCATTACCTGCAGGGTGTTTGTGTGCCTGCCTCCAGAAAGAGCTGTTTCTCAGGCGACTGAAAGGGAACGTGGTAACTCCCTTCAATTGTTTTCTGCCAGAGGCATCAACAAATCTGCTAGGTTCTGCTCCTTGGGGAGTGGCTATCAGTTTCTTCGTAAGGTGGTGTTTGTGCTTTTATTAAAGTCTAAAGTGGTTTCCAATTTGTGAAAGTACTGTACTCGGCATTTGATTTATTTAGAGCCTGATGTTCTCCATGGCAACTGACCAAAATCTGATCTAAGTCATTGTCTTTTAATTCAGCCTCAAGGAAACCAGGTTATTTTTAGTGATGAATTTGTCCTTCAAATTGGCTTTTGGGTTGTGGGCGAGGGTGACCTATGGGCTTTTTGGTGGTCGGCAAGGTGAGAACCCCATATATCATGGCAGGATGGCTCTGCATCAGCTTGGGAGCAGGTTGTGGGATGGGATCAGGCCTTTGGCGGAGAAGGGAGCAAGAGGGCACTTGGCTTGTGCCCATTTGTGACTTTGAGTTTTGAATGAGCCTGCTGATCCACTCCTTGGAGCAAGCTTGCTTCAGCCAACTGCTGGTCTTAAGAATGGAGATACAGATGTTGCTTTGACATTTTGCAGGCAGATCAATATCTCAGCTGACTGAAGGGTTTTTCTTGTGAAGATCTGACACTTGTTCAATGATGTGCTCAACTTTCTCTTTTCAGGTGGTTGAAAATCTGTCTCTGCCCCTGGGGTCATGTTGTCAATCATTAAACTGATTTCATTTATACTCTGTATAGCCCAGAATTTCTCATTCAACTATTGCAAACTGTGGAATAATGTGAGAATTTTCTTTCAGTTACATAGGGGACTGTGAGATTCACATGGACATATCGAAATTCAATCTTGGAGTGAAAGGCGTACAGGTGCGTGCAGTGCTAACGTTGTCTGTTCGAGGCTGTGTGTGGCAGGAGGTAGCATGTCCCGGTGGGAGGTCATGACACTTAACTGGGAAACCACCAACTAGCAGGCCTAGAATGGTTGGCTTTATCTCTGTGTGTTTTGGCTGGGGAAATGATGCCTTCCTTGTAATGCATCTAAATACATTTAAGTTTATTAGTATGACTCTTAAACAGGGCCAGTGCTAGAGCATTGAGCTCGTGTAGGCCAGCTTCTGCCACTGGAGTTCAGAGGAGCAGCGTGTTGGTAGAGAAATTCTAAAGAGCCAGTTCTGTCAGGGTGTTCATAAACTGGTTTAGGTTAGACCAGCAACCTGTTCATCCAGTATTGGAAACCAATAGGCAGATCACTCCATTGTATGGCAGTGAGGATTGCATGGAGATTCCATGAACTTGGAAAACTTTGCCCGATATCAATAGCAATGTTCTGGGGGGAGGCAGTTATTGTTGTTGTTAAACTTTTAGTAAAATGATTTCAAGTAGGATTTTTAAAATAATCTCCATCACTGAAAAGCTCACAGTTTTGAAACTGCATCCGGAGAGCACCTTCAGACTCAGTTTTCCTTGGTCTGTTCTGTTTGCAGTTGTACGGGACTCTGCGGGTGATACTGGAACCTCTTCTAACCGATGCGCCTTTTGTTGGAGCGGTGACCTTGTTTTTTATGCAGAAGCCGGTGAGTCAGTAGTGAACTGCACTCCGCAGCCTGCTTGGTACTTGGTCTGTCTTGATGCAAGGGGTCTTCAGCGAGTGACACAGGCTGTCCGTCGCTGGTGACACAGACTGCACGCCTGTGAATGCCTCAGCGCAGGTGTTTGAATAGCAAATTCCTGATTGCTCAATGATCCTCTTGAACCCCGAGAGGATGGGAATGAATTTGCCCTCTTCTCTTGCAGTAGTGCCCAAAAAGTTATTTGCTTCGCTCTAAGAATGGGAGGACTTTCCAACGGTGACAGCGCAGCAGCCATTTTGTGGACCTTTGCTGCAGGGTTCCTGGCAGGTGGATTTTAAGTCTTCCCATTCACAGATTTTAAATGCAGTCATCTTGGAGACCATTCAGTCATGGTCGTGCTTTGAAAGCTTGCCTGTTTAAGGTCGCGTGCCTTGTAGTTGAGTTGTGATCTAATAAAATGTGAGAAACCTTCTAGTCTTGTAAGAACCAGTTATCTTATAGCACACAGCTTTGCTTCCTTGTGGGTTATGCTCTGCTTGAGTTCATGGAAGTCATAACATTTTTGATCTTGGAAGAGGTGTTTTTGTGTTTAGATGTAGTAGCATTATTTTAGCACATGAAAAAAACCTTTATGTTTATTATGTGAATGGAAATCCAGACTCCTGAAGTCAGGTGGTGTTTGTAAATCCCCCTGCCTCAGGGCATAGGCCAACCCCTAAGTGAAAGGATGAGGCAACAACTTCAAAGTCTAGGTAGAGCTGTCGGATTTACTACACATGACCGCAGGGTATCTGCCAGTGGCCATTGCTAGGGGCTGAATCCTCTCTTTCCCCGTGCTTGCAGGGGAAGTCCCAGTGATACCCTCGTTTTGGGTATGGCAGGTAAAATAGATAAGGGAGTTGATACCAACTGTTGGTTTTAATGTACAGATGCAGTCACTTACTGGTGCAGGTTTTGCTATTTTTAAACAGCTGGCTTTGTTTCAGAAGCATTTGCTTCCCCTATAAATTCTGCATTTGTTCTGAAATAGATTTTAACGGTCCTGTATAATTTTTCTCCCTGATCTTGTTGTAGCACTTGGAAATCAACTGGGCAGGCATGAGCAACCTCCTGGATGTCCCGGGGATTAAGTGAGTGTCTGCTTTGCTTCACTTTATTCTTCTTTAATAATTGGAAGTTGGAATGGTGTTCAGTAATCATCAAAGCTATTCTCAAGAGCGTTGTGGAGAAGGCGTTGTGCTGATACTCATCCCGTCGTATTCGGCTGTGGAGTTTGCGAAACCTGAGGAGGGTGCCTTTTACATTCTGTCAGAATTGCTTCAATCACTTCATTGCGTTTGAGATTTAGGATGGAAACAGTAAATCCCCAAAGCGACAATGGTCTATAAATTAAAAAACAAGCCCTTCCATTTCCCATGTGCCAGTTACTTGCAAAGGTAGATGAGGTAGATCTAGGTGACTGCCAGTCTCTGCTAGTGTTTGCTTACCTGAAAGTGGAGAAAGCCAGGGTATCACAGATTTGCAGTCCCTCTGCTGAACTGAAATACAATCTGTGATAAAGAAAGCTGCACCAGATTTTATAAGGAGAAATCTTCTCTTTCTGTGTTATCTGCTCACCCTTTAGGTTCTTCAGAAAATGTAGTTCTTCCCCAGTGCCTCTTGGTTTGAGCTTGTACATAGAACTTGCACGGAAAGGATGAAAATCTGAGCGGTTTTCAGTCCTGCAGCTTTCAAACTGTTTCTCCAGACTGGAGATTCGATTCTTCCTTGCTCCTCACTGTTAAGGAGAAAATCTGTTACACAAGAGAACAAAATATATTTGGTTACTCAGCCATTGCCTTTCTCCCTTTAAATGCAAATACAGACACTTCGGCTCCCCTCTTCCCCTGCAGCTCATGGTTTGCAGACTCATAGGAAGTGGCTGGCTGCTTTAGGTGCCAGTTTATGCATTAAACAGCCTCTGAAGACCTTTGATGTCGAGTGAGAGGAAGCTTTTTTTTTTTTCAATTTGAGGCCAGCGTGGCTTTTGCCCTGAAGTTTGCCCTGAGAGCTCCAGTTTTTATCAGAGGAATTAATCTGTGCTTTTCTAACACAGCTTTCCTTAATCTTTGCAGGGAGAAGGTATGTAGGTGTTCCAACCTACAGCCTCTCATATAATTAAGTGCAAATTTGGTGTCCTAAATTTTAACTCCCTGGATCTCTCACAGGGATTTGAACACAGAAACCCTTGCTTGTCCATTGGCACTACACATGAAAGCCAGGAGCAAAACATGCCTGACCATGAATAGGCTGAAGTACAGGTCAAATAAGAACTCTCCTTTTCAAATGAATCGGGCTTACTGAAGAGAGTAAAGAAACTGGATGGTCTGTCCTCATGTACAAGCTGTGTTTAGCTGGGTGTATCCTGCGACTTAAGAGAAGGGACAATCCTGTGACCTTCCTGTGGGGGCTTTTTGACAGGAAAGCCAACAGCCTGACCAAGGGCTTTCAGCCTCCTGGTTTCACATTTGGAGTAGGAGAGGACTTTGCTTCGGTGTGAATCGAGCTTCATCTGTAGAACTGTGACAGTTTTGTTGCACAGTCTTATATAAGTACTAGATTTCTCAAGAGGATGAAAGTCTTTCAGATGTTTGGTGCTCTTGGGTTTTCCTTTTAATATTGTCTTCTGCTCATGTGGAGTTGTAGTAGTATGTTGAAATCCTCTCGATAATCACATGGAGAGTACCGGACGTCTGTGATAGCCATATGCTTCTTGCTCAGGAGAAGTAGGTCAAGTTAGTTGTCCCTGCCGTACAAATATAGCAATTCTAAAGAAAAGATTTAAACTGAAAAACTAAAAATGTGTCAGTTTTAATTACACTGGGAAGTTCCCTAAACTGCAAGACAGACAGTACCCTCAGTTCAGCCAGTGTGATCTCCTGCGTGCCAAAGGTCCAGTTACTTCAAACAAGATTTTCCTTCTTAGTGCAAAATACATCAAGACACAGAATCTCGTCTTTTGCCTGGTCTTCTACTAAAAATTAAAAAAAAAAAAAGCCAAACTCATTTTGTGCTGAATGTGGCTGGCTTCTTTTCCAGTTCTACAGTAAGGTCTCAGCACGTGGCCAAGAGGAGACAGCAGTGTGCACTGGGGCCTTATTCTAGTCTAAGTCTAAAACCAAACCACCTCGAGGTCTTGAGCCCCCTGTGAAATGCTGAAAATTCCAGACTTCCTCCTGACCTTGCCTGTCTCTGATGTCGGCGCTCCCAAGGGAACCCAGAAGGCTCATTTTGCGGTGCCCGTTCTTGCACTGTGCCTCATTCTTTCATTCTAACTGAAATTGTGATCGATTCTAGAGATTTAGGTTGCTTTTTTTCCCCCTCCCCTGCAGTGTAGTGTCAGACTCGCTAATCCAAGACTTCATTGCTGCGCGGCTGGTTCTACCGAATAGGATCACAGTGCCTCTGAAGAAGAACATCAGCATTGCCCACTTGAGGTTCCCTGTCCCGCACGTGAGTCTTTTTCAGTGAGGGTGTTCATCTCTCTGAGCGCGCGTTTGCCGCAATGGGGATGCATGTAAGCTTGGTGTGTTTGGTTCCTGCGTCAGCTGTTTCAACCTGGATTGTAGGCTTTCTGTAGGTAATACTTCAGAAATATAAAAGCAGATGTTGGATAACTGATAATTTGGGGTGCACCTGGGGGTCCCACCCTCTATACACGGCATAAGAAGTCTGTTTAGACACTGAGCTCGTTTACCAATTTAAACCTTTAGTCTCATTTGAGACTGCCACAGATCTTCAGTTAGAGAAGGTAAATACATAAGCAAAGAGTGTCAGTCTACTTTAATTTTTTTACTAATGCTGTGAAGGGCTGTAAATAGGGAGCTCAGAGGGTGAAGTCTCTTTGTTACAGAAAAAAATTAAAAACTCCAACAACAGATCTCCTAAATGCTTGACACATCCAGATCTTCAGTCTTCTTCATCCGTCAAATACCTAATATACTCATTAATGAGGGTAAATATAAATGAATGACAGAAGGATGCTGCTTATTGCAAACTTGCAAACACCAGATTGAAGTTAAATGGCCACTCTGCGATAAAATAAGAACCTGCGAATGGGTGCTTAATTCCTCCTTCAGTCAGTGGGAATTGATCTTTACTCTACACTTGATTTGACTGTGGCTGTAATCCTGTGTGCATATGTATGTTTCTGATTTAAAAATAAATCTAAGCATATTTCCTATGCAATTATCTAGATTGGATCATGAATCTGTTTAAGGGGTTTCTTCACTCTAGGTAAATGGTGGAAAAAGGGTTTTAATACAGCTGTCACTGGAAATTTACTGCATCAAAATACATGTCTTTGCAAAACTGTCATGGTGACTACGCCTGCTGCCTGAAATAACTAGTTTTAGGAGGTAGCATATTATAATTATCCAAAGATCACATTTTCATGAGCAATTTTGTATCTTATTTTACTCAGGGAGTAATAAGGGTTCATCTGCTAGAAGCTGAAAACCTTGTCCAGAAAGATAGTTTCCTCGGTGCAATCAGGGGGAAGTCTGACCCGTATGCTCTGCTTCGCGTTGGCACGGTGCAGTATCGAAGCAAGACAGTTTCCCGAGATCTTAATCCCGTTTGGAACGAGACATTTGAGGTACTGAATCTTTTGATCTTTCCATCCGTAGGATGCACAGCTGTTTACACCCTGTGCTTGGAGGACCTTCTCTTAGCTGACTGCGCTGGAGCAGGTGGACTTCCTTGTTACTTGATTGAGGCATTTCTGTCCCTTAAACAAGTTCAAATTTACATTGCAAACTTGAAATGTCGTTCAGGTTGATCTGATTTACATATGTGGGTTTTTGGAGGAGGTGCAAAGCACTGCTCTAAATATCAGTCAGTGCAGCAGCTATAGTCTGCTCTAGCATTGATTCTTCTCTGCTTATTAGGAATATCAGATTGAGGGGTTTAACTTGTAATTCAAAGACAAACAAACTGGTTTTTGAAATATTTTTGCCTATAATGAATTGTATTTGTTATGCAATTAGCCACAAAACAGCAGGGAATGTCCTTAATGTGTTATAAAGCTGTGAAGTGTTGTGGTGTTGTCCACAGCCTGAGTCTATATGAACCAATGTGAATGCTTTTTAATCAATACCTTTTTCTCCTCCAGTTTGTTGTTCATGAAGTGCCTGGTCAGGACTTAGAAGTGGACTTGTACGATGAAGACCCAGATAAAGATGACTTTATGGGCAGGTAAATTAGCATGGCCCTTGCTACGGGTCCAGTAACCTCTGAAAAGGGACACCTAGGTTATTCATACCAGAAATCTGATACTGAAGGAAGCTTTCTTCCCTTTGCGCAGATATTGACACCAAGTAGTTAGTTCCTACTGCAACTAGCTTTGAACAAGGTAGAGAATGGGCCCAGACTCCTGCAGGGAATCCTAGGAAGCCCTAAGTGATCGTTACTACAGAATTTGAGATTTACTTCGTATTTATTTTAGTTTTGGAAGTGTTTGAAGAGGGAGACTTCAGAAGTGTAAGGGTGTTCCAGTGCACATGCACTCAAATAATGCGTAGAAATTGCTATTTGGAACAGATTTGAGTGTGAGTTTTTTAGTGGTGGTTTCTTCTCCTTGCCTTCCCCAACAGCAATATGCTGTATTGCCTAAATATAGACTGAAATGTTTGCTTTATGTCTTTCAGCTTGCTTATAAGCCTAGTGGATGTAATGAATGACAGGATTGTTGATGAGGTAAAGATTGCAGCTTATTTCTAAATATGGTTGGTGGTGTATATTTACATGTACTCATTTGTGCTCTCCCTCTGCTACTACATTGTTTCTGTGTGCTTAAAGCTTCCATGCACGCTTGCACTGTGGTTTTTTGACAAAAAGAAAACAGCTTCACTCAGAAAAATTGAAGTAGCCATTACAATAACTTTTACAATCAAGCTGGCAACCTCAGACAGCCGCGAGGTTACACTGAGCCAGCAGTGGAGTATCTTGTGTTGATATCGGATGTCCTGTGTGTACCGAATGCTTTGTACAAGGCTACAGATAAAGTATGGTGAAGCAGTCTGCTGAGGGAAGAAATAATCCAATCTTGTTGTGGTTTGTCTTGCAGACCAGCACTCGGCAAACAATGCCAGGGTGCCTGTCTTGTGCTGCTGCTGGCTGGAAGCCTCCATGTGCTTTGCAAGCACAGGGATATCTTATTTTCGTTTTTTCTGGCTTGCGTTTCTCAGTAGATGGACATACTACAACCTAAGTGTCAAAAATGCAAGCTAAGGTGCTCGAAGTACAGTTCTTACCATCTTTTGTATGTAAGTCTCAGAGTATTCTGAGAAGTAAGAAAAAGTGTTCTGCCTGACAGTTCTCAAGTTACTCTTTGTTGTCTCCATTTAGTGGTTTCCCTTAAGTAAGACAACAAGCGGACACTTGCATTTGAAACTGGAGTGGCTTTCACTGGTAAATGACCAAGAAAAGCTACATGAGGTGAGTATATTTGCTTAAAGGATTCAGATGCTCTGATCCCTGTCCAGTGATCAACAAAGGAGTGTGTAAGATTAGGAACCCCAGGCAAACTCACAGGAATTTATTTTTGTCTGGCAGAGTTTTGATGTGATTCCCCCTCTGCCCCTCCTGAAGAGGAGGGGTGATTGCCTGCCCCAGGTCCATTGGTTACTCAGGGGTAACTCAAATCTGGCAGCTCTTTTTGCTTGAGTTAGCAAAGCTTTGTTTGACTCGCTGCAAAGTTGCTTCTCACAGTTCCCCTCTCTCATAATTTTTCCCTTCCCTCTTCATCTAGGATCTGTGTAGGACCCCTGTCCATAACCCATACTAGTCATAGGTACCCAGCACTGGTGCTTGGTAGGGCCATGGTTCCAAGTGGTGTCTTACTCGTCCAGCGGAATTGCTTGGATAAAGCCTGTTTGCCAAGGATGCTGTTTCTCCATAATCAAGCAAAAGCATTCAAGTTCCACTAAAGTGAACAAAATTTGTTTCCAGGCTTTGTTCTTTTGACACTGGGTTCCTGACGTTGATGTATGTGGTTGAGCATGCTTTTAGGTGTCTTACTGTGCTGGGGAATCCAACCCGTTCTGCACTAGAGAGACTGAAGAGCGTTAAAACCAGTGAATTGAAAAGACTTACACCTCCTCTTACTGGTCTGCTTAAAACTGTCATGCTGTATTGGCTTGTGCTCCTCTAAATTGCAAGTTTTAGGAGAAAGGTGAAGAGCTGGTTAGCTTTCAGAAACTGCCCTTTGGATTTGTGTTGTGCATTATGTTGTCCTTGATGGGTGATCATGCCTACCTTGTGTTTTGTTTTGGTTTATCTGTCCTGGCCTTCGCAGGATAAGAAGGGTCTGTCTGCGGCGATTCTGATAGTCTACTTGGACAGCGCCTTCAACCTTCCAGTAAGTACAAAGCACACGCAGGCACCTTTCACTCCTAACCTCTTTTTTAAAGCTCACAAATTAACTGTTTTTAAATACTCTTTTACTGATTCAGAAAAACCACTTTGAGTATTCGAATGGTGAATGCGGAGCAAAGAAGATCAAAAATAACAAGTACCTCAAGGTAAAATTTATGTCCTTCTTCCGTGCTTACAAAACAACGTTCTGGATTATGCGGTATCGTAGCAACTGAAACTAGCTGTGGTTAAAAAGAAATCTCTCTGCTGTCAGAATCAAAGTGACCAGGGGTTCGAAATAATGATTGAAAGCCCGCTGCCACCCCCGTGAAAGTCTAGGAGGTCCAAGGGGGAATGCAGCACAGAAATATTTGATTGTGTGGGGGGCTGTCTTTATTTTATAGTTTGGACAGAGAGCCTCCAGACATCAGACCAGGTCATGTTATCCTTTCTGCTGCTGCAGGGGTTCTTTCCATGCTGAGCTGTTCCACCTTGACCTCCCACACTGGGGTGGGAGGAATATGCTTGTTTGTGGTAACTTTCCTGTCCATTGGAGACCTGACCACCAGATTCCTTCCCCCCCAGTTGCAGAGGGATTCAGAAGCTGCTCTGTCATTCGTGTGCAGCCTTTTCATGCTTCTGTTTACTTTTTCCCCCAAATACTGCATTTTGCTACTGTGATGCAAAGCTGCCCGTTCTCTCTGAGCAGCTCTCCTCCTAAATGTCATCTTTACAATTTAGATGAGTTACCAGCACTGTGGTAACACATCACCTTCGATAATTCTGAATTCTGGATTTCATTGTATCAGCTTTGTATACAAGGCTGTGCCAAGACCAGATCCTCAGCCTTAACTTCTATAGCATTAGTGCAGAGAAGCACAGTACAAGAGGTTCAGTATTATTGCTTCTGGAAAGGAATTGTAACTTGGTGCCGAAGACTCACTTCTGGCTGCCCTACAGCAAGTCCTGAGCCTTGGAAACCAATTCTGAGAGCCCTGTTCCATTCAGGAATGATGAAGACTTCACACTGAGCCTTCAGCTCTCTGCTCTGTTTCCTGTCAGCTTCTGACAAATTTTTAACTGCTCACCTATTGAAACCTAAAGACATAAGTCTTAAATGTGTACTCTTGATGGCAGAGGGTAAGACTGTGGCTTAATTGTGTACTCTTGATGGTAGAAGGTAAGACTGTGCTGTGTTACGGCTGGAGTCTTTCCCGTGTACTGCGCTCTTCAGATGTCCCGCATCTGAAAACTATAGTCGGCTTTCCAGAAACTTACTTGAAGTAAGAGTAGTGGTTTGATACTGCTTCCTGTAAACTATAAATGTCTTTTTTTTTTTTTCCCTGCTTTCTAATTTTTCCTTGTATTAAATTGCAGAAGACAGAACGAGAACCTTCCTCCTTCGTCCTGCTCACGTTAGGAAACAAGACTCAGAAAAGCAAGGTGAGGCTGTTTCATTCCTCAGCTTTTCTTAAAAACTTTCTGGTTTATGGGTGGCTGTCTCCAAGCGGCCCCTGGGAAGGGTAGGACCAGTGAAGCTGGTGTGGAGAGCTGTAGTTGCGGCGATAGCTGCAGGGGCCAGGAGGTGGGGGTCAACCAGCGCGTGGAAGCACTGCGTCACTGAGTTGCGCTTGATTAGTGGGTGTCTGGTCAGCTGCTGTGCAGGTGTGTGGGTTTTGTGCTCGTGGCCACGAGGTCATGTTGGTCACGACATAGTTCTACAAGGGCTGAAGAGGAAAAAATGATAGGTCTCCAATCTGGCTCATGCTGTCTCAGGGCAGAGGGTCATTTGCATCAAACTGGCATTTGTTCCCTCATCAGTCTCCTGTGTTTCAGTTTTACTGATTTTTTTTTTTTTTTTTTCCTGGACAAGGCGTATTCAGCTCTCCTCCACTTTACTTTCAGTTCCTTTTTCATTATTTAATATTTACTTTTGCCTGGAGGGTATGAGCAGCAGCTGAGTTCTGCCCTCCCAGTAGCTGCCATGTTTATTGCCCCGCAGCTGGATGAGGGTGGCCCTGTGTTCCTATGGACACCCAACAAATAGGAATGAATCCTGTTGGCTACACACGAGCATACAGGACTGGCACGTGGTGTCCTTTGTTTCTTCCACTGCTTCATCCAGACATTGGGTTCTGCTTGCATTGTTTCCTTTTTTGGCTTTCCCTTTTCTCCACCACATCCCCTGCCTCTCCCAAGCTGGTTCTGACTTCCAGCTGTCCCCTGCTCCTTTCCCCTTGCTGCCAGCACTCGTGGCCTGGCAGAAGCGGCGGGTTTACAGAGCAGCCTCAACCACAGCCCCCACGGGTGCTTTCCATGCTCTTTCATCCTTGGAGTGGACGGCAATGAAGCTGTACCCTCATGCTCTTCCCATGAGCTCGACACCACTCCGACTGCTCCTCTAGCTTCCCTGCACTTCCCCAGCAGCTCGCTGCAGCCTGGGGAGCTGGCTCGGGGTGCCTGCAGGCTCCTTCTCTCCCTGGGTGGAGAGGTGGGAGGGAGGGAGCAGTGCCTTGCTGCGGGTAGAGCAGGATGCTGGTCCAGGCAGCACTGGCTGGGGCCAGCTGCAGCTCGACAGACTTGTTCTTCGGCATTTCCACGCCCCGCAGAACTTGTTCTGGTTTTGCCAGAGACTTGGCTTCTGCACACTTCTGACCTGGAAATTTCGGTCTCTCCATACAGCTGGGGTGGAGCATCCCTGAAGAAAACAAGAGGGTCACTGTGACCCTCTCTGGTGAGCAGTGTCATGGTATTCTTTGCTGCCAATGGAATAAGCTAACGTGTGTGCCACAATCTTCTTGTTGCAGACCTGCAATTTCAGCAAAGATCCCACATGGGGCCAGGCTTTCACCTTCTTTGTCCACAGCGCTCATTCCCAGTCGCTCCATGTTGAGGTGAGAGAAAAGCCTTTGCTTTGGAGATGGAGTGCATGTACGAAGGAAGAAACCTTCTCTATGGTGGATGTGATCTCAGTGCTGGTTGTTTCTGTGTGCTTGTGCTGGGTTCCTCCTACTTAAAAGGTGGAAGAAGCACCTGTTGTTGCACGGGCAATTCTCTGTTAGGTAATGCTGGTATCTGCCTTTGCTCTAGGATCATGTAACACATAGTATCTTAGTTCAAAACATGGGACATTTCTGGCTGCAAAGTGCAAAGGAGGCTTTATACAGGTCTGTGTGTAGTAAAGCTGTGAATATTTTGCTGTCAGAATTCGCAGCCTTCATAATTCTCAACCAGAGTCCTATCTCTTCACCTGGGTGTTCTGGCTCCCTAGCATACCTTGCAGTCACAGCCAGTTCTGTGGCTGTTCACTCGGCTACAGAAATGGATTTGAACTTAGAAGGTGTATTGAGGTTGAATGGGCTAAACAAACTATTACCTGAAAAGCTTGTAAAGGTTTAGAGCAGTTGTCTTCCCGGCTGCCTGGGACGTTTTCCCCAAAGCAAGTAAGGAAAGTCAGGTAGATCCCAGGGCCTGGTTTTTTTCTGCTAAGGCAGTTCCTTCTTTGCGTAGTTAGAGATGGGATTTTTACTCCAAACATACTCATTTGTTACACTTCTGAAATACTGGCATCACCCATTTGGAAGTCACCATACTTGATAGTATGTGCTGAAGTAAATAAGCTAATTTTGGTCTCTGTCTGAAATACCTTCTTGCTTTGCTGTTCCCAGTGGTATGCTTTCCAGTTTGCCATCAAATAAGCTTTTTTTTTTCCCTTCCCCCTAGATAAAAGACAAGGATCGGGATAACGTACTGGGAACTTCAGTGCTATGTCTCTCCCACTTACTTAAGGACCCAAACATGACTCTGGATCAGAGATTTCAGCTGGATCATTCCAGTTCAGACAGCTTCATTAAGATGAAACTTGTGTTGCGGGTAAGTTGTTCTTTGCCATATTCACTCGGCTTCCTCAGTGGAAGCATTCAGTTCTAAAAAGGCAAAAGAGATGAAGGATGGGTGTGGAGAAATGCGGCTTTGCTTCACAGATGAGTAGAAAGCAGAAGTGTGACAAGGTCTTTAAGTGCAATTAAGAGTGCGTGGTGGAGGTGAGGCGTATCCCTGGGGCTTCCTAAAACTTAGCGCAGTGCCATTGCTGAAAATCTTCTCATGACAATGGAGAGTTGGACTGAGAAAATCTAAGCTGGGGAAATCAAAGCTGATGATAGACAGTAACAGAGGCTGGTGCTTAGGAATTGTTTTCTCATTGTGCTCAGGATCACTGTTAAATACGTACACGTAGGATAGGGGCAGAGAACATCTTTCATCCTAGGTGGTAATGCTGGCATTAACCCCAACGCTTTGGGAGCAGCGCTCATTTCTCTCCCTTGTGATTTTTAGGCCTTGAATGTTGAAGAACCCGATCCACAAAGAGTCAAGGCTGGTGTCAGTGCCTCGAAGCAAGGTCCTGTGCGTGTCACGGAGAAGAGTGGAAACCAGCAGAAGTTTGTCTCCCCACCAAAACCAGAAGTCTCAAAAGTACCTCCTATGAGCAAAGACTCTGCAGCACTTGAATCCCTGCCAAAAAAGGACAGCAGAGAGGACCTGGACACAAATGACAGTTCAGCAGCGCCGGTACCAAGTGAAACTGTTGCTGGCCTTAATGAGGCAGAGCGTGAGCAAAACCCAGAGCGTCGCCCGTCGTCAGCACTGCAGACCAGAGCAGCCGTAGTGCCCACGCTGCCAGTCGTACAGGAACTGAGGCTTGCGCCCAGTGTTACTTCGCTGGGTTCTCTGCCTTCTTCTTGCTTTGAATTAAGTAGCAGCAATCTGGACCTTCATAAGTAGGTGTTCTTCCAGCTGAATTGTTCTTCTCTTGGGAAGGTTTGGGTTTCCTAGGTCACTGTTGCATACAGTTGAATTCAAGACTGCTAAGTCATTTGGCATCTGGGGCCTCAAATCACCTTATGAAGAATTGACCCAAGCATTCCAGTCCACAGCAAAGTAAATTACAGGGTCACTGTCAGATTAGGTGTAAAGTGAATGCATTTCCTTCACTGGCTCTTCTAAGAGGTGCTGCATCTGTTGGCTTTGTATAGTTCAAGAGCCTCTCACACAGAGTATCCTGTGTCCCACAACACTCATGATTTTAGCAACAGGGGACTGGAATTCTGAATATCCCACTTCTGTGAAAACATAGACTCTTGATAAGCATATCTGGCTGCTTAAAGTTTTGGATGCTGTGTTTTATCCAACAAATTTTAAGACTCTCACAATGCTCTGAACAGACTTTTTGTGGGTCCATGTGCTTGTGTGCGTGCCCTTCCCCCAGCGCGCAGTGTGAGGCTGCAGGTAGTCTGCTCCATCGAGGAGGGCAGAGAGCCAGATCTGCCTCTCCTGGGGCGCAGAATGGAGCGAGTGGAGTCCAAAACGAATGAAGTACCAAAGAAGAGAGCATCAGGGCAGTTACCAATGTGAACATCAAACCCAGCTCCAGCTGTTGGATCTGGTACTTCTGGACTGGCAAATTCTCTAGCTCTGAGCAAGGGCTCATTTAGAAACCATTTTAAAGCCATTTTAAGCAATGTTTAGGATTTGAAACTGCTTTAATAACATGCAGAATGAGATAAAAAAAGGTCCCATTTTGCATGTACGGACATCCTTGCAGGAGCTGTGTAACGTGCTAGCCTGTACTTGCTGCTCCATCAGCAGCGGGCCAGTTAGGGGCTGGTTTGGCCATGTGTGCTGTGGGACGGAAACCAGGTGCCTGTACAGAAGGCCGGCTGGGCAGTGCTGGCACTAACGGGAGTGTTGTTTCTGTGGAGCCTCTGTGGTCCAGCTGCGAAAAAAGCAAGGTTGGAAAGCAAACCTTAGGATGCCATAAAGAGCAATAGTGCCCTGAAAGTTGGAGTTGAAAATGCATCGCCAGCTTCTGAAGTTCATGTGCTGTTCTGTGCTGCTAGGGCCATGCGTGCGGTCTGTTACATAGCTGTATTTAAAAGCCCTGACTGTGCAACTGTCTTGCAGCGGGACTGGGATGCCTCTGGGAGAGATTCAGCTCACAGTGCGGTACGCTTCGGTACGGCAGAGTCTCGTCGTGCTGGTGAACGGCTGCAGGTAACGCTGACGATGGCTTGCATATGTGAAGGAAAGGGGAAGAGCTCTCTGAGCTTGCATCAGGTGTTCAGAAAGGTGGAGCAGAACCACGCGCAGCGCAGGCTGCCCAGCTGAGCCGCCTTAGCGCTGGCTGACTTCGATCTGTGCAGCCTCACCAAGCCCAGGCTGGTGGACACCGCCAGCTCTGGCCAGTGCCAGCAGCAGGCCTGCGAGAGCGGCCAGTGAGCTGTGCTCGCTGCAGCAGAGATGCTGTAACCTTCGTCCATCCAAAACTTCCTCTGAACAGCGCTGGCAACTGATGTTGGGGTGTCATGGCAAGAGCTGACACCTGTGACTGAATTTGTAAACGTTAGGTTAGGAACCCCAGTAGTGTGGCCACACACTCAGTAGTGAAAATTGTGTGTGACTTCATGTCCTTAAAGTTTTATTTGCTTGTGTTCCAACTCCCAAGATAAATGCTTTTGGCCCATGAACCCATCTGTGAAGGGTGGGTCTGCTTCGAAGAGAGTCAGTGGGAGAAGCTGCCTTGCTTGTCAACACTGTGTTTCTTCAACAGAAACTTAGTGCCCTCTTCCAATCGTGGAGTAGATCCGTATGTTCGTATATACCTGCTTCCAGATAGAAGATGGGCAAGCCGGAAGAAGACTTCCGTTAAGAAAAAAACTCTGAACCCCCAATACGATGAGAAGTAAGAAAATGTTAATTACGATTGCTGCTGAAATAGTTACGATCTTTGTAGCTGCTGAAATAGTTACGATCTCTGTAGCTGCTGAAATAGTTACGATCTCTGTATAATGAAAGGGCCTCCGTAAGGTACGCTCCTGTTGCACCTAAGGATTGTCTCATTTGAACGTTTGCAGGTCTTCTGAAAAAAATGGCACTTCAACTGTGATTCGCCAGTACTTCGGGCTGGCTGTGCGCCGCGTGCGGTGCTGTCTGTGCCCCGCGTTCCCTGATCCTGGCAGGTGCAGGCTGCGCTTGCGGCTTTGCACGCGGCCGTTCCCCTGCCCACCTTTAACTCCCGGTCGGCAGAGGCAATTTTTTCCATTTGGGTACCTTGCAAAGCCTCCTTCTCTGTTCATACTGCTTTGCCCGATGCTTATTCTGACATCTTCGCAGAAGTCAAAGGCAGAAATACAAAGCCTTTCGAGGCTGGACCGTTCTTCAGACAGACGGATGGATGCTGTCCTTGAGACCTGGTGTAAGGTCCAATGAGCAGGATAAAACGCAGGGTAAAACGCTCCCACCTCTTTGCTGACAGTGCCATGTCCGCAGCTCTGCCACTGAGATGCAACGCGTTTTGTGTAAAACCAAACAGTAATGCTTAGAAGGAGCTCTCTTTTGAGAGGTGTGTTTAATCCCGTATTTAGAGGAAGGTACACTCATGTGAAAATACGTGAATATTGAGTGATCCTGGGTGACTCAGTTTTTTCCTGTGTTGGGTCCTTTCTGTACGTAGAACCATAGAATGGTTTGGGTTGGAAGGGACCTGTAAAGGCCATCTAGTCCAGCCCCCAGCGGTGAGCAGGGACACCTTCAACTAGATTAGATTGCACAGAGCCCCATCGAAACTGGCCTTGAGCGTTTCCAGGGATGGGGCATCGACCACCTCTCTGGACAATCCGTGCCAGGGTTTCACCACCCTCATGGTAAAAAATTTCCTCCTTACATCCAGTCTAAATCTACCCTCTTCTGGTTTAAAACCATCATCCCTTGTCCTATCACAACAGGCTGTGCTAAAAAGTTTGTCCCTGTCTTTAAGCCGCTTTTAGGTACTGAAAGGCCAAGATCTCCCTGTGGCCTTCTCTTCTCCAGGCTGAACAACCCCAACTTTCTCAGCCTTTCCTCACAGCAGAGGTGCTCCATTCCCATGATCATTTTTGTGGCCTCCTCTGTACCCACTCCAACAGGTCCATGTCTGTCCTGTGCTGAGGGCTCCAGAGATGGTTGCAGGATTCCTAGTGGGGTCTCACTGGAGCAGAGCAGAGGGGCATAATCCCCTCCCTTGACCTGCTGGCCATGCTGCTTTTGATACAGCCCAGGATACGGCTGGCCTTCTGGGCTGCGAGCGCACATGGTCGGGTCATGTCCAGCTTTTCATCCCCCAGTACCCCAAGTCCTTCTCAGCAGGGCTGCTCTCCATCCCTCTATCCCCCAGCTGGTATTGGTACCAGGGGTTGCCCTGACCCAGGTGCAGGACCCTGCGCTTGGCCTGGTTGAACTTCATGAGGTTCACAGGGGCCCACTGTCAGTATAGGTCAGAAATGGAGAAAATTTTTTTAAAATATTTTATCTTAACACTCAAAACATTGGAGTTGTGGATTTTGCGTCTGCCTGTTCTCACGTGACTCCGCTGATGCAGTGCCAGCACAGCTGTGGGGAACAGCATTGCTTTTTCCTCATCCTCAGTACTGACGTGTCCCGTACATCCTCAATTAAGTATAATAGGTTGAGCAATACTTAGCTCCAAAACACGTTACCTGTTTTGCAACTCTGACTTGAGGAAAAGCTATTTGGGTGGGCAGAACTGCAGTGATTTAAGGTGGACAGAACTCACTTGGCACTAGATGCTGCGGCCAGAGCCATGAGTCGGAGCCATTAAGAATTTAATTGCCACAGGTTTCAACCTTTGTCTTAATGTGGTATGAACCTACTTTGTAAACTTGGGGGGTTGGCCCAGCTATTTCCTCTGAGTAATGAGGGTTGCATGGAAAACACGCTGATCTCCCATCAAGGGGGAAAATGGTGGTAAATGGAGTTTCATCATGGGTGCGTGTTTCCCTCCTTCCCCCTGGCGCAGTGAACAGTCTGAACAGCAGTGCCCTAGTCTTTCATGAGGCCTGGAAGAGATTTCTTACAATGGGAATAAAAATCTAACTACAGAATTTCCTTTTTTTGTGTCTTCCTTCTCTGTTGTGGTCGCTGACGCTGTGTTCTGTCACTGTCTTCTGGCTGCTGAGGCTTAGAGGATTTTCATTTTTGACTTGAAGTCTCTCCTTCCAAAACTCTGCTTTTAGGTTCGAATTTTTTGAATCTTTGGAAGACGTCAAGAAAAGGACGCTGGACATCGCAGTGAAGAACAGCAGGCCCTTCATTTCGCAGGAGAGGAAGGAGCTGGGGAGGGTGAGTGTGGAGAAGCTGCCCTGCTGCTGCGGTAGCGTGGAACAGCCTGAGGGATTCTGGCAATCCTGGAACGCAGTTCTAGTAGCCAAGCCTCAGGAACAGGACCAGCAGTCTGGAAGCAGCTGCTTCCGCCAGACTTCTGTCTGAGATCAGGCTGTATCCACATGGAAGCTCGCGTGGGCTCGTGTGCCTGCTGCTTTGCTTCAGAAGGGCACTCCCGCGATAAAAACGCGTTTCCCGGGCCCCGCTGCTGCCCGCCTGGGGAGCAGCTGCAGTAGGGCAGACACGAAGCTGAGAAAGACGGGCGATTAAAACCCAGAATTTGCCAACGGTGCTTTGATCTTTCTGTGAACAACTTTGGTTCCGTGAGACGTAAACTGGAATCGCTTCTGCGGTGGCAGATAAATTTAAGCAGCGGTGCTGAGCACCGGGCTGAGGCCGGCTAACGCCCGGGTCCTGGGGTGCAGGAACCCCGGCTCCCTGGGGCTGGGCTGCAGCCCTGGGGCGCGGAAGTGGGGGGGGGGGTGTGTGGCTTGGGAGGAGGAGCGCTAGCTTCGCTCATCCAGTTGTACCCTGAGTAATATACAGAGGAGTAAAATTTGCTTTTTAAAGGTGCAGATTGACTTGTCGCAGGAGGATTTGATAAAGGGTTTTGCGCAGTGGTAAGTTTTCAAACTCTCAAGCCCCGCGAATCGCGTTGCTGGCAGTTGGCGTGACGGCTGCTGGAGTGCTGGGAAGGGGCTGTGCGCTGTGCAGAGCAAGGAGAGCGTCTCACCTGCCAGCGCAGGACTAACTTGAGCTCATCTGGTAGTTTTATCTCAGTTGTATGTTAATCCAGCTGCTAGTGCAATGCCTGCCCTGTGAAACAGTTTTAATAAGAGGCCTATATGTCAATTAACACTCTTCAGCATATTTTAAGTTACCATAAAAGCCACTGGGACACTTTAATAAACATAATTCTTTTACTTATGTAACCTTGCAACAAATTTTAACTTGGATAAAGATCTTAACTAAATTAATACTCTGATCAGCAATATATATGTATGATAAAACTTTTAATTACAAAGCATTTATCGAAACTATTATAATGAGCCACTTACAGTTTTGCTTGTATGTCCGTTGCGGTTCAGACTTAAACCCTAAGCGCTGGTCTGGGGCCAAGATCAAGGGCCAGGTGTTTCTGCCCCTGCTACGCCCGTAGTTAATGGCAGCCATTCTTCCTGCTCTCCCCTTCCATGGAGCCCAGATTGGGGCCACCCCGAAGCCTCCCCCGCCCCTCGCACCCCAGTAATAAGGCAGCCCAAGCCCTCGCTGTCGTGCCAGTTAAAATGTTCAAGAAAGTCCTGAGCTACCGTAATTTCTTCTTGTGTCTGTCTTGCAGGTATGAGCTGACCAGGACCAGACGGAAGAAAATTTGATTTCTTCTCACGTACATAAGTTACTAATTTTTCAACTTTATATGAATGTATATATCTCTTGTAATTAATGTGTTTTGAACAGTCACTGCACATTTGAAGCAGTCTCCAGCTCAGGACATGTAAATTTAATGATCCTACTCAGAGATTAGGGTTAGATTAGTAAAAAAATAAACAAAAACCCACATTGGGAATAATTTTTCCTAAATATTAAGTCTTGTTTCTGGCGTATCTCCCCCAAAGAACCCTGAACTATGACTACTCAATCTTAAGGAAGTGTTCTACCTGGAGATATTTTCAACTGTCAGCTCAGTGTCATTACTTTGCTTGGCAGTCTCATTTCCCCAGGATTCTGTTCATGTTGTTTTAACATGAAGGCACTGTACTTTAAAAAAGAATAAATTTTTAAACAGCATTCTTCAGCTGTAGGGCTACAGAACCCTGTTGAAAGAAAGTGTTTAAGATTCTAACAGCAATTGTTTTTTGAGAAACGAAGAAATTGATATTCCGCTCTCAAAAGCATCTTGGCAGGCTGTGGCTGCAGGTGTGGAGGTACCCGGCTTCCCAACGCAGGGAGATCAGTTTACCAAGACGGCATTATGGTTTTAGTTTGTGATGCCTTAACACGTCTCGTTCTTTGTTACAGCACATTTCAAAATCTTTAAACCTCGATAGTAACGCATTCTGCCTGAGGAACAGCAGAGTTTTGTAAATTAAGCTTTATTAATATTGGAGCAAAGTATACAAAAATATTTTTGGAAGCTTGGTGTACTTGTTTCTGTACAATAAACTTGTAACTGTCTTGCATAAGAAACTTGATGTCTTTCTAGAACTGACTTTCAAACTATGACCATGGTCACTTCAAATCCGTGTCAACCACCACCTGAAGCAAGTTTCAGGTATTTCTGGCCTAGATGACGTGAATCTGGTCTGTCTCGGTCCGTGACCAGGAAGAACACTCACCAAGCAACAACTTGCTCACATCCCAAACTTACCTGAGGATGTAACCAGCGCTGTAAAGCAGGCGCTCCAGAAAACCAAGCTCGGCAAGGGATGAAAGTGCTGTGGCCGGGGCCGTCAGAGCACCCTTAGCTCGTGCTTACTGCGTCAGCGACACTCGGAGCGCTCCGTGGTGACAGCGCGCCTGGCGTTGTGCTGGGCCCCGCTTCCTGGGCTGCTGCCGAGGGCAGTGGTTCTCCGTCTGGCATCGAGCAGACCAGCTGATGGCGGTTAGGTTTGTCTTAAATTGACCACAAAACCAGAATTAAGAAAAAGGAAAAAAGGCAGCAGCTTTTATTTATGTAAAAAAAAAAAATCCGAAACTGTCGATCAGGGTAGCAGAGGTTGGAGGTAGCTGTAATGCGCCGTGCACCAACCGGTACCGTCGCAGGCAAGGCCGGCTGGCAAGTCCCAGCAAGACTTAACTCCTAACAGCTACCAGTTTCAAACTGCGCACAGCAGGCAAAATATCGTCCAGGTTACTGATCTCTGAAACAGAGTGAAAAGCAAAAACCGTCAGGCGCATGCACCTAGTGCATCTTCAAGTTCAGGAAACGCTCTCACTTGAAGGACAGAAATACAGCTAGCGGATAAACCAAACTCCTCGCACCTTTTCATGCTTCTGGGAAAAACTCAGCTTACTTTGTGAGTAATACGACTGAATACACGCAACCCCATTTTCAGTGAAAACGAAGTATATTGGTCACTTCTTGAGGAAAGATGGAAAGAGGAGAGTGAGGCAACAGTTAGCACCTTCCCTGACAACCTCCTCGTGCTGTAGCACACCAGGAGCAAACAAAATGCGTGTTAGCTATTTGAAGTTTTAGGAGGAAGCTTTGGCATGAAGATAATTACAACTGTTGCAAATATTACTCACCTAGAAGACAGAGCAAGTCTTGAATGAGAGCTTGAAACGGTGGGAAGAAGCACTCATGTTCTTCTAGCTTACGGATTATACTACAATGTGCAAGGGAGAGAGGTATAAGGGCGTTTTCAGTGCATCTCCTTGGCTCCTACGTTCTGAAAACACTGCTACTTAGTACATCTAAAACCATCTACACCAAAAATGTGTTCTCAAGTTCTGAAACCTGCGGCCAACGAGCGTCAGCTGTCAAAAGAGGACCTCTAAGTTCACTATTGATGCCCTGTATACATCCTTCCTTTCCTCCTACATGGCACCAGGTGATTTTTGGACTGGACCTTTAGTCTACGTACGCTAGATATACTGCCTGGGGACAGCTGATGTAGCTGCCTCAGGTGGAGCAAGGAATATTTTATAAGTGGCTGTTCTCTAGGGAAAACTGAGGAGTGCATGAAGGTTGAGGGAGTCTGCGTTGTTCGCCCGGCCTGTGCCAGACTCGCTGCCTGCCGCAGGGGGTTCCTAGCGTGTCTGCAGAGCCCAGGCTGGCCGCAAGCTCTCAGAGCCGGCTGCCACACGTACGTGTGGTCCCGCCTGTCGGGGACAGCACATGATTTGCCCAGTTCCCAAAGTGTCTAGAGGCAGCTTGAGGCACACGTTCTTCTCGCAACTACCACACTTCAATGTTGCAGGTGAAACCTTGCAGCACTTTCTCCTCCCCAGCCACACGCAGGATCCGCTTTGTCTCCCTGCGACACAGGCATCCCTAATAAGCCTGTCTGATCCCCTCATCCGTGCAAAACAGCAAGGGGCTTTGGAGCCTCCTGGCCTTAACTTTCCTCTTTGCCAGCTTTATCCTTGTGAAAGCATTCAAGATTCGTTTCAGGTGGGATAGCTGTAACTCCTTTACTGTCACAGCTCTCCGACTCTGTAACAAATTATTAAATTGTCTTTCAGTTTAAGGCAGTTCTCTCAATTACTGAATTTGATGTCTGAAGAATGGTCACCCAGGGAACAGCCCCACAAACCTGTGGATGTCTTGGGTCCCCAGGAGCTGCTGTACCTGCTCCGTCACGCTCTCATTAATCACGGCACACAGTTTCCCAACAGTATCCACTACCACAGCGGGTGGAGCCGAACTGTCTGTGGAAAAACAAACACTCCATGTTTCTTACATCAGTACTACAGGGAAGTATTTTAGGCACAATCCAGATTTTGTTCGGTTTTCACACACCTAGGCATACAAGTCCTGTCATTCACAGAAAACAAAGTGCCTGCACTCAGAAAGGAACCAAAGTGAGCTAGCAAGAGCGAGTCTCTCACTCCTGCTTCAGTGGCTAAACCTGTCACAGCAAAGACGGTACTAATGCGCGTCCTGCAATGTCAGTGGAAATCAGCCGACTGAAACTACACAGAGAGAGGGGGTTACTCATTAGGTTCCTGTGACACAGCGGAAGCGCGGTGTAGGGGCTTGGCCAACAAGGAACCCGCTCAATAATTACTTTGTTAACAGCCAGAACTTGTTTTGGTATTGGATTTTACCTGCTTCGCCTACTGCGACTGAAGGCAACAGGCGCCTGGTCCTCGTCTCCCTCGATTTCAGAAGAGCTAGGCTTGGAGGAGGCATCCTCTGAGCTCCCGTGGTTTGCGATTACTAGGGAGAGCCGAGGCGTGCCCACGCCTGCGTGCAGGAAGACCGCTTCCCTCGCACAGAGGGGCTCGGAAGGCCTCGGCAGCCCGGGAAAAAAAAATTTGTTGAGGTGTTTTCCTTACTCAATATTTTTATCTGAAATAATTTTTTTTTTTAAATTAGCTAAAACAAAAATTTTTTTTTTTTCTTTTTTTTTTTTTTTTTTTAAGTTTAGCAGCGTAAGACAGAAGTTTCTGAGGACTGGACATCATTACACATGAATGAATTACTGAGTAGAAATCTACACCAAAGGTTGAGTTATTTTTTTCTTAAACTTGTTATTTTTCAAGTGGAGAATGAAAGATGGTCAAGGAGAATTATGAAGTCAGCTCACAGGAAACAAAGCTTTGTAGAAAAAAAAGAATTAAAAATTCAATTTCATCTGTTATTCCTTTCTTCTGCCTCCCTGGTATTCCTCAGCAACTGCTACAGGCTTACAAACAATGGGGTTTTGCTATTTAAACTCCCACTTGGCAGCAGGTATTTTTATAATCAGTGAAGAATATACCTAGTTTACTCATTTCTCAGCAGCCCAACGTATTTTCTCTGAGATCAGCCTTTCACTTGTCTCTAGTGAAGCCTAGTGGCTCTCTATGATGGTGTAACAACAAGAGTGGACAAGGGAAAACCAATGGACATCATCTATCTGGATTTTTGTAAAGCCTTTGACATGGTCCCCCACAACATCCTTCTCTCCAAATTGGAGAGCCATGGATTTAATGAGTGGACTGTTTGGTGGATAAGGAATTGGTTGGATGGTCGCAGCCAAAGGGTAGTGGTCAACGGCTCAATGTCCGGATGGAGACCAGTGACGAGTGGAGTCCCTCAGGGGTCCGTACTGGGACCGGTGCTGTTCAATATATTTATCAATGACATGGACAGCGACATCAAGTGTACCCTCAGCAAGTTTGTAGATGACACCAAGCTGAGTGGTACGGTTGAGACACCAGAAGGACGGGATGCCATCCAGAGGGACCTGGACAAGCTGGAGAGGTGGGCCTGTGTGAAC